TATAACAATAAGACATATATTAATGTATATAATAATGCCACAAATGATAGATTTAATTAAACTAATTTATGGTAATGGGCTATATGTGAAGTTGTACACTATTAAATCTAGGTGTTTTTGATCATTTAAATGTGCATACTGCAATCTCTAGAGCAATATCTACAAAATAAAGAGACAGATACAAATAAAATAGGTGAGTTAAAATAAGATACTAAAAAGTATTTGACTAATACAGTGCAAAATAAGTTTAAAAAGATGTAAAGAATATAGAACAAATACAAAATGGGCCAAATCCAACTGTATCAAATTTTTCATTAAATGTTAATATACTTTGAACACAAACGCTGATTAAAAGTCAGATGTTGCTAATATGGATAGTAAGGAATATCCAACTACTGTATCTGCTATCCTCAAGAATTTGTGGGCCCAGGAGCAGAGCTGCCCCCAGCACAGAGGAGGTGAACCTTATGGGCCACCATACCACTACCCACAGCACAGAGGAGGTGAGCCACACAGGTCCCAACAGCACACACACACCCCCTTAAAATGAGAAGACACATAAACAAGTCTCAAAAACAGACATCCGGATCATCTAAAGCAACCGCAAAGGGAAACAAGATGTAACAATCTGATATTCAACCACCTGGAATCCCTGAACTGGCAACAAAAGAGAATCTGGAAAACATGAAATCACAAATAATTTCTCACATAACAGCAGAGATTGTGCCCATAGAGCAAGACATGATTAATAAATCTACAGAACACAGATTTAAAAAATAGAGGAGCTGAGGAACATGATGGAATCCCAACATAGGAAACAAATGGAATCCATAAAACAGATGCAAACAAATTTCCAGGACATTAAAAACTCCACTGAAAGTTTACACAGCAGAATGAGCCAATGTGAGGACAGAATTTCAGATATGGAAGATAAGATTGCAATTAGTGACCAGGAAAAGAAAATTTTCTTTAAAATAGTAAGGGACTACAAGAAAAAAATCCAGCAGCTGCTAGATGATGCAAAGAAGAACAACATAAGATTGATTGGAGTCAATGAAGAAACAGGGGT